CGGATTTTTAACAAAATGTGTGTGAAACCGAACAACAATACCTTTCAGTTGCAGGGTGCAGGATAAATGACGCAGATACCTATTTTATTTACCGTTACCGGGCATATTCTTAGATCGGATGCTCAAAAGGGACAGAAAAAAAAAAAAGGCAGCCCGGACCTCCATAAAATACACCGATGCATGAGGTTCTGACTGTCCGGTGATGGAACGCTTTAACCTGGCTTGAATTACGGGCGCCGCTCGGTCCGCGGTCCGCTCCTCTGGAGGTCCATGCAGGGATGCTGAGGATGCGGAGGAAGAGGAGGGATGCTGCGGGGGATGCGGAGGTCGGAGCGTCCTTCTTGTTCTGACGAACTGAACCAAAAAAAGAGGGAGAAAGGATTCTGCTTTTGTTTTCTCTTCCTCCAGTAAAGCTCTTAAAGCACAAATAGTCCAGAACCATAAGAGCCAAGCAATATCCTGAAGCCTTTAAAAATCAGGTTTGGTGTGAGCTGGGTGCAGTCCCTGTAGCTGTGTGGCAGGATGGAGGGAGAGAAGTTGGGCGCAGTCAGATGGAGAGAGGAGAGGGGAGGGGGTGGTCCTCTGAAAGAGAGGGAGTCAGATGAAGCCAGGTTTTTACATCCTCAGCTTCCAGCTCCGTCCTCCCTCTGCTCTCCATCCCCCTGTCCTCCTGAAGGAGGGAGGGAGGGAGAGAAGAGAAAGCATCTGCCTCTCAAAACAGACCAAGTGACACAAGGCCCACTCCATCTGACTCTAAACTGTCATTAATTTAGGCTACTGTCTTTTAATCCAAATGCTTCCAGGAAACAATTGCGATAAGCTCCCGCGGCCAAACGTGTGTGGACACCCGAAGCTACAGCTGTGTGTCTGCCCAACATGTAAGCGCTGTATCTGGAGCGTTACTCAGCCTCCTCTTCTCGTGGTTTCAGGCTGTACATCTGCAGAGTGTTTGTGAAGTCCAGCACTGATGTGAGGTGACAAGGTCTGACTGTCAGTTTGTGTTCGGCTTGTTCAGAGAGATGCTGAATGAGGCTGAGGTCAAGGCGCTGTGCAGTCCTCTCAAGCTCTCCACAAGAAACCACTGGATCAGGCTTTGTACAGAGAGGACAATGTCATGTTGACATGGCACAGACCAAACCAAACAGTACAAGACCACATCCATTCAAATCATTTTAATATCGCTCATGTCTGTTTGTTGTGGTGGTTCAGATGTGCAAACCATTAAAATCTAATTCACTGAGGTCAATGTCAGGAATAATCTGACATTTTGGAAAACATGCTTGTATGTTGACAACGACACCTGTTCTGAAGCTTTGCATTTTACATGAGAATTACTCTGTGAGAGGCCAGGCTAGGCTAAAACTGTTCATTACAAAAACTGACAGCAGACAGACATGGCTAGCGTAATTTTAGCTTAATCCAACATCTTTCTACAGCTGCAGTTATTAAATGTAGCAGCTACTCTCTAATGAATGCGCACACAGATAGCTGCAGACATCGCGGACATGTGGCTGTTCTTATTAAGCCAGAGTTACACTTGGCTTAAAGTGTCTGTGTGGCAGATACAAGGACAGTAATGTGCATGTTTGACAAGAGTGTTCCTGCATGGAATATGTTATTGTCTACCTATAGTGCATGTATGAAATAAAGCCCCTCCAGTGGGCTCCATGTTGACAAGAAGAGTAGCATCATAGCAACTTTGGATTTGTAGCGTTTGCAACTGTATATGTGCCCGTCTGAGAAGAGGGTAAAATCAAGGCCTTATGGTAATGTTTAGTCCATATGCTTGGACGACTCCACCCATATGGACTCCAAGCATGCACCCTACCGCCCTCATGGCGTAGTTGACAAATCTGGGCTTCATCCATTCGCTGTGGAGGCATCTGTGTGACTTCTGTGGGCTTCGAAAATAATGACATTATGCCTCATGTGCCCTTGCATAAGTACTACATTTTGTCATCCATGAGGAGATTCTCCATCATCCACGCTTTTACAATTCTTAATTTAAAGAGTTATAATTGAAGCATTTGCTGCTTGACTTTGCAGGAGCTTCAATGTACTTTCCATCGACGGTACCCAAACACAACTGGCGGTTCTAAATTCTCCAGAAATCCTGTGCTATGAATGCCCGCTCTGGTCGGCACATCTCAGGAATAATCATCGTCACAGAGCTGCACTCCAATCTGAACCCAGCCGGTATATACAGTAGAAAGTTCAAATTCACGGCCTTTTAGCAACATCCACTGGAACCCCGTGTTCTTTTCTATGTTCAACATGAGCAGCAAAGCAACATGTACCTACCGTGGTATGAATAGAAGCGCATGTTCTTTGGCTTTAAAAGTCTGCATCGGTAAGTGCACATGGATGCAGGAATCATAAATTGCTCTTAGCACCGGCCTTAGCATTAGAGCTATTTAGCGTATCTGCATATCCAAAAATGTGGAAAGTATTATTCAGTTTTAACTCTTGAACAAGTCACAGCTAACAGGTGGATGTAGAATGGGATACCTGGCTAATAAATAAACAATTTACATTGGGTACAACATTTAAATGAGGTGATTTCAGAGCTCCTGGAAGACGTCTTTTTCTCTTTTTTGATAGAGGACAAATACCCTCTCAGCATTCTATAAGCTACGTTAATGTACCAAACTGGAGTATTTTTCAAAATAACAATGCACAGTCCTGAAAAGGCCACAAGACTTATTTTAGTCTGCTTCATAGCAGCTAAACAGTCAAATTTATGCAACCAAATTGTGTCAGCCATTAAAATCAGACCCATATAGGCCTGTCCTAGATAATCACATCACATTAACCAGAAATTTCATATTCATATCTTCCTTTTGTCTCACCGAAAACACATATAAACAAGCGAGCACTTGAGACTCCATTTTGTGGCTGAGGTCTAAGAGGAGTGGAGCAATGGAGATCAAAACCACCAAAACCCAGTTTAATCATTTTAGGTTGGCTGATGTGAGTTAAATGAGACTAAAGGCTCTTTACGGAGAGGAAAGCAGTTAAACTGGTTCAAAATTAAAAAGATGTTGTCTGAAAGCATTGATTTCTGTCTGTGTGGTTGGTTTTTGAGATGTGATCATGAAGATTGTTTCTTTCATGAAACATCACTGGCTGCATTAGTCTCGCTGAAAGAACGACGCTGACCTTTAATTATATTTCTGAATTAGCAGATAGGACGACATCGACAACACTCTTCTTCTGTGGTGGAATTTAGGACTGCACCCACTGGCTGAATTATTGATGAGTCCCACCTTCAAACAGGAACACCGAAATGAACATTTTTTTTCCAAAATAAGCAGCGTTCCTCCTGGGTTCCTCCATATGGCTCATCATCTGTCCCCCTCCATCCCTCCCCCCACCTAGTGTACTGGGAACCAGTTGACTGATGGGAGATGTTTGGTACTCATTTGACTGCACCATTATAGCTACCGACCATGAAATAATCATCAGCTTCCATCTCATGAAGCCTCATTTTCTTCAAGCAACTGCTTACAAGCTTTACCAGCTATCTCGAAGGTAGCGTCGGAACACTACACCTCATTTTCCAAGTAGACGTTTCAGTTTAATACAAATGTATCTATTTTATAATGTGTATAACAATGAATTTTTTCATTTTTTAATGAAACTGAAATGCTGATAGCCTACATTTAATTTAATCAATTCATTAAGTTCTGCATTTTGCTTTTTATTGACATTTCATATATTCATATTGTTTGATTTATTAATTTATTGCATTTGTTTTGTACCTCTCCTTAATTGCTCTGTACGTATTTGCATTATCTTTGCTGCATCCCACTCTGTTAACATTTACTGCTTCAAAGTTCCCAAATATGAAATGAGTTATTCTATTTTAATATTTTGTGACCTTTTTCTTGTGTGAGTTTCAGGGAAAAAAAACCTGCATATAAATTCATTTAATTAGGTCTACAGTTATAACCTAGAATAACCTGATTCAGATAAAACTCCTGGTAAAGATAGGAAATGAATCCTGTGTCCTAACAGGGAAAGTCAGTAGCCAAAGGACAAAAAAGGAGAAGGAGTCAGAAAGGAGAAACTTGAAATATTTATAATACTTGGAGAGTTACGATGCATTACAAATTCATGGAAAAATAAAATAAAATACAGGATAAGATATGACTTTGCCTCCTAAATGAAGCAAATCCAGGAGCATTAACTAAGTTACACTAAGCCTAAATAGGTTACAATAATAAAATTAAAGGCATTTACATGGGTCAGAGCATAGTGACTCAGCATGATTATATTTTATATGTTTAAGATGTTAGTGAAAAAGCTCTTCACATGTAAAATAAAACTGAATAGCATATGAATGGATGACTGTACATGTTTGGATGAAAGGCTTGCAGGTAATGACAGAATAGTTTGTGTCCCACTGTCAAGCATCCACAAAGGTTTATGAACAGCTGTACAGTTGTCCAAGTTGCAAACTGCACTTCCTTCAATACCCAGTCCACTAACAGGTACAAATGACAAAGGGCTATTGCAGTTGTAATTGTGTATGAACTCTGAAAAAAATGGATTTAAATGATGCTTATATCATAATGTGGAGGCCAAATAAATCCGTCTCGATGTAAAGGGCTACTAATAACAGTCAGGCAACAACAAGGGCATCTGAAAAGGCGCTACTTGTGTATGCGACACCGAACTCCATTCAAACCTCGAACAATTTTGTGTTTTTTATCTTGTTGCTGAAGGTACACGACTTCACAGTCTACATATCTACATGATGGAGAAACAAGAAGGTCGTCTGGTGAATTCGGCGCACATATGATGCCAGTTAGTTAAGAATGCAATTAAAAGAGTAGGAAGTTACGAATTTCCAGAGTTAATTAATGCTTGCTGGAGTGTGTATAGAAATTGAGCGTTGCTCTGTAGTCACATATGTCTCATGTCATGTTTTAGGAATGTATTATGTATTTTTAGCTGTGTCATTTAGCTTAGCGTTGTGTAACATGCAGCACCGTCCGGTTACACAAGTCCAGTGTTTACGTTAGGTAAGGTCTCTGTTATGTAGCTTAGCTAACCGAGCTAGCCCTCAGTCAGTGTGCAGCCGGAGTGTGTCGGTGCTGCTGCGGGTTCAATGGTCTCTTCCTCCAGGCTTCGTCTGGTTTGGCGTCATTTTGTCAATAGCAGGATGGGTGACATGGCCTCCAAAGCCCAGATGCCAACCCCAGAGAAAGCGCTACCCGGCCGGACTGACAGCATCAAAGTCTCCGGTGAGTCTGAGCCCGGCTAGCTGTAGCAGGTTAGCTTCTGTAGCAGAGATGCAACTTTATCACACATGCGCGTTACAAGGCAACGCAAAATGTACGGTTTGCCGGCTTATTTTGTATCTTGGTTGTCTATGCCTAATGTCTGACGCGCGGTTACCCAATAATGATAGAAGCAGCTTCAATTACGAAGACGCAAATAACTTCAGCAACTGTAGCATTTAGCTTTTAGCACCTGCCAGTACTGCTTGCGCATGCGCACGGCGGTCTACCAGCAGTGGCGGAATCTACTGCGTTTGAACACAATGAGGTACATGTGCTTTCACTTTTACTTAAGTACAAGTAAAATTTCTGCGTCCAAAATTCAAACAGAAGTACGAAAGCATTATTGGTAAATTTTGCAAAAGTACACCACTTGTTCTGCAGAAGAACATCGCCTGTGATAGCCTTTTTGATAGGGCAATATTAGATTGTTAATGCTAATGAATCAAAGTGTAAACAGAAATTTAATGCTTCACTTGAGTGGTTTCCAGCCTAAAGGTTGAGCTCCTTATCAGAGTCACAAAATACAACTGAGAAGTCATGAGATGGTTAGTAGGTGAGGAAAGAAAAAAGAACACATTCTGCAACATCTTTTTTTTTTCAGATGTTTCTCAAACTTTGCTCCTTTGGTAAAATACTACATAATCTTCTAGCACATATTTAAGCTTTACTATGAAAATGGCTCACCGAAACTTAACACTGCACTTCTTTGACGTCTCCAGCGATAGACCGGCTTGTAGAAAGTCGAGCAGATGAACGGTTGTCGAGAAGAGCAAAGAACCAACAAGCAGACATACAGAGATCCTTTATTCAGTGGGAGATACAAGCATTTAAATAAAAAATAAACTAGTAACCATGATCCTTTGCACACAAGTTTTATAAGGAGTGTCATAATACGACGGTTATATTCCAAGTCTGTTTCTTTTGCACTCTAAATGACGCTTGGCACAGTTATGTGAATGCAGCAGGTGCGAGCAGTAACCCTCTGAAGACAGGTTTCCACATCACATGATCAACATTAGGACCTTTGCCACACTTGTTTTTGTGACCAATTACAAGTGCACAACTGCAATATCACCATGCAGGAGCGGCACTGTGGGAAAGTCTGCAAGGATTTCCATCAACTGCCCCAGAATATATTGAATAGCTGAATTGTGGTGTGATGCATTGGGTGCTCCATGATGAACCTTTTCTCAATGATTCTCAAGTTTTTTGGCCACACTAACCCAGCCACTGCTCCCAACTGCCCTGCTCACCAGATCTGACTTTTTTTTTTTTTTTTTTATCTTCCACAAAATAAAATTCAATTTGAATGCTTGCCATTTTGACACAGTGGAGGAGATCCAGCACACATCGCTGACAGTGCACTTAAAGAATGGACTTCAGGAGAACATTCCAAACGTGTCAGGAGCGGTGTGTCACATTTGTCACATTTCAATCAATTCCTTTGTTTTCTTAAAGTCCAGACTCTAAACTTTTTGATCCCACTTCATACTTTGCAATTTTTTGAAACTTAAAATGACCTGATTTCTAGATTCAGAGATTTCTTATAATGGCAGAGATAGATTTCTTCAGAGGTTTGTGATCCTCCTGTATATTAAGCAAAAGTTTGAAATCCTTTATCATGCAAATATAAACATTTTGGTGATTAAAATCAGTCTAATCACATAAATTCTCAGAATGCTTTTCTGATTTTTACATAATAAAAAATACTTACTTATGCAAAAGTTTGGGCACCCTTGAGCCTTTCTTCAAATGCAAACTGACAAGGCAACTGTGACTTATTTAGTGTGTTTGTTGCAGGGGTTTTAATTTATTCTTTACACTTTAAACATCAGCAAAATGTGCAATATAACCAATATTGTGTCCAAACATTTGCATAAAAGTGCATGTAGAATGTAAGAATATTTGTATGTCTTCAGGACAGTAAAACTAACCCAAGTTTTTCATTGTTTGCTCGTAATCAGTGATTTAGACGGCAAAGTTTAGTATAATATTAACACTTATCTGTCACCAGAAACACAGAATTGTTGCCCAGCCAAAATTTGAGGACACAGAGGAGAGATGTTGGCACTAAATATCAGATTTCAGTGGAGATTTACTCGATAGAAAAACTGATGTATGAATGGACCAACGGTGGCATAAATGGACTGTGAACACAGGAAAAAATGGGTCAAATCCTCAGCAGACCTAATGGACAATGATAAAAGCTGTAATGAGAGTGGTGTGCCCCACACCCACTTATCATTTTTATAATTTTGTAATTTTATTCATCGTTGTGAAGTGGATTTAGTTTGTTAAAAAAAAAAAAGGAAAATATATAAAAAGTTTTTTTTGAAAAAAATCTGATTTCAGCAGCTTCAGTTCATAAATATCTTTACTGTTTTTTAAAAATAGTCCATAGATCTGTTGATTTAGTTACTTCTATTTAAAGATAACTGTCGCTCTAGCATGTAAACGGCTCAAACAAAAGTGTGCATACGTGTGTGTTTGTGAAATAGGGAGCTTTCTGTGTGTATAAACAGACTGACAGCAGCACTAAGTTGGCAGTCAGGGCAGTTGGCACCAACCTGCCCCCTCTTCACTACAAGTGAGGGCGCTGAGTCTTGGCACATGATGAATAGATCTGCATTGGCACTGAACAAAAGACCCGAGACACACATACACACACACACACACTCGCACTCAGAAACACACACACTCCCTGCCCTTTATATTGCCCTTTAGTAATAAGTAGTAAGTGTAAAGGTTGTCTGGTGAATGGAGTGTTGAGAATATTGACTCAGTGGTATTTGGGTTCAGTGTTAAAGAGACAGAGAGGAATGGTAAGAGGAGGGGAGTGCACAATCAAATGTTTGAGTGATTTTAAATGAGTCTTTTAAATTAAGTTTGGATTGATTTACCCGAAGTGTGTTTAATATTTTTGGCTGGACTGGAGGGGGTTGGACTGGGGAAGGAGGATGTGGGAGTGGAGGGGTTAGGAGGGCGGGGGTCCACAGCGAAAGGACGATCGGGATGGAGGGATGGATGGGAAGGTTCAGACGGAGTGGCAGACATGCTGGAGCATCGCCAAAGCTTCTCGGGAACACTGCCACAATCGAGAGAGACGAAGAAAGAGCGAGGGAGCAGAGTGGAAAGGAAAAAGCCATGCCTGCAGTGGAGAGACTTGGCAGGGCTTCTCCTTCTTTGTCTGTCTGGCTCAGGGCTGCAGCGCCAGAGGAAATCAAGAAACGGCCAGGCATGGTGGTGGTGGTGGTGGTGGAGGAGGATGGGGACAAGCTCTGCCGAAAAGACAAGAGAGAAAAAGTATTTCCAGCGGACTGCAACTCAGCTTCGGTAAGGTCTATGGAAATCCAAAAACAAAACAAGCCGTTTTTCTCTTTTCAAACAAAATTCTGCTTTGGAGCCGACCAGGTTTCGAAAAACAAAGTGCAACGTGACCGCAATTTCTGATAGGTCGACACGTTATTTTAGAAGCTGCAAAGTTGTGTGTATCGCTTTTTTTTTTTTTCTTTTTTTTGGAGAACTAAACAATGTCAAGGACGGACATTTGACTACAGAGAGTCTACTAGCAGCCAGAGGAAGGCCATCCCTGCACCAAGCAAGAGGTTTGTGTATGAGTGCTTGTTGGGCTTTGACACGTCTTTGACCAAATCAGCAGGATTATTCAAATGGTTTATGTTTGATTGTGAAACGTTGGGGTATGAGTTGAAACGCAGGGAGAATCTAAGTATGTGTTTTGTTAATGGGATCTAGCTGGAGGACACAAAGCAGGCCAAGCAGGGCCAGAAGCCTTAACAAAAGAGCACAGTGCAGATTCTCAAACTGTTTGACCTCTTCAAGGTCTTTACACACCTACTCTGGTTAATACTGAAAAGGAGACTTTAGATTTTAGATTGAGAATTGTGCAAATGGGATAATAGGTGAAAATTGATTTTTGGCCTTGGAAACAGTAGTATGATCTCATCTCATAATCTGTTTTGTAGCTGCCCTTGATGAGTAAAAGGTAGCATCATAAATCATGTGTTTAAATGATCAGACTATTTGAGCTATCTCAATAACTTGCTGTTTTATAATGTCTCATCATGTATCTCCATCATGTAAGTCTGTATATACTCGGGATTTTAATCACGTAAGGAGGGAGAAAAGTTACACACAGGCATTTTAACAAAAAAAAACCCAACCACTTTCTTTGTCTAGAAGTGCCAGGAAATAGTGAAAACAAGTCATTCCATGTGGATTTGTTCAATAGTTAGATTCATCCAACCAACAGTCAAACTGACAAAGACAAGTATCAAATCCTGATATTTGTAAAGCCTGATCTAGAGATTGACTAAAAAGTTCACTCTACTATCAAACTATTGCAGTTTGCAATTTATTTTCTTTTGACGAAATTATCAGTAATTGCTCTTTTGTTGACCTTCAGATTCCTTGACTTTAACAGCAATGACCTGCAAAGAAGAACAGTTGTTGGTGTTTTCTTTGTAAATGTTAGTAATGAAACATGAAGCAGATGTGAAGTTTTTCTAAATTAATGCAATCAAAGAATAGATGTCACTTTATAAGTTTTGCATCTACTAATGTCATAATTTCATAGTAATTATCCATTTATATACGTATATTAAATCTTGGTCAAAAGTTTATGAGGCTGTTGTTACATCACTTTGCCATTGGTTAATCATCTCCTGTTGATGATTGGTTGACTTAGGTCCGGTTTACACGTAGCAAAAACGGTGATATTTCAATGCGTTTGGGCCTTTGGTTTACATGTAAACGAAGCTACGAGTCACCGAAAACGATCATATCTGAAAACTCCGGCCACAGTGGAGATTTGCAAAAACTCCGTCATTACGTTTGCATGTAGACAGGAGGAGACGGAGTTTGACGTCGCAGTGTGCGACAAAAGCGTCATCAGCGTCATATGAGTGCGACCCATGTTTGCAGTTTGGCTACTGTGATAGAAA